GCAATGATGGGACTGCACTGATGGGCACTGATAGGCTGCATTGATGGGCACTGATAGGCTGCACTGATGGGCACTGATAGGCTGCTTTGATGGGCACTGATAAGGCTTCACTGATGGGCACTAAGGAGGCTGCGCTGATGAGGTGGCACTGATGAGTAATGATAGGTGGCACTGGTGGGCATAGATTGGCAGTGATGAGGCTGCACTGATGGGCAATGATGGGACTGCACTGATAGGTTGCATTAATGGGCACTGATGAGGCTGCACTGATGGGCTCTGATGAGGTGGCACTGATAGGCTGCATTATTGAGCACTGATAGGCTGCACTGATGGGCACTAAGGAGGCTGCGCTGATGAGGTGGCACTAATGGGTAGTGATAGGCACAACTGGTGGACATTAATTAGCATTGATGAGGCGGCACTGATGGGCAATGATGGGACTGCACTGATAGGCTGCACTGATGGGCACTAAGGAGGCTGCGCTGATGAGGTGGCACTGATGGGTAGTGATAAGCGGCACTGGTGGGCATTGATTTGCACTGATGAGGATGCACTGATGGGCAATGATGGGACTGCACTGATGGGCACTGATAGGCTGCATTGATGGGCACTGATAGGCTGCACTGATGGGCACTGATAGGCTGCTTTGATGGGCACTGATAAGGCTTCACTGATGGGCACTAAGGAGGCTGCGCTGATGAGGTGGCACTGATGAGTAATGATAGGTGGCACTGGTGGGCATAGATTGGCAGTGATGAGGCTGCACTGATGGGCAATGATGGGACTGCACTGATAGGTTGCATTAATGGGCACTGATGAGGCTGCACTGATGGGCTCTGATGAGGTGGCACTGATAGGCTGCATTATTGAGCACTGATAGGCTGCACTGATGGGCACTAAGGAGGCTGCGCTGATGAGGTGGCACTGATGGGTAGTGATAGGCACAACTGGTGGGCATTAATTAGCATTGATGAGGCGGCACTGATGGGCAATGATGGGACTGCACTGATAGGCTGCACTGATGGGCACTAAGGAGGCTGCGCTGATGAGGTGGCACTGATGGGTAGTGATAGGCAGCACTGGTGGGCATTAATTGGCACTGATGAGGCTGCATTAATGGGCACCGATAGGCTGCATTGATGGGCACTGATGAGGCTGCACTGATTGGCATTGATAGGCTGCACTGATGGGTTGCATTAATGGGCACTGATGAGGCTGCACTGATGGGCTCTGATGAGGTGGCACTGATAGGCTGCATTATTGAGCACTGATAGGCTGCACTGATGGGCACTAAGGAGGCTGCGCTGATGAGGTGGCACTGATGGGTAGTGATAGGCACAACTGGTGGGCATTAATTAGCATTGATGAGGCGGCACTGATGGGCAATGATGGGACTGCACTGATAGGCTGCACTGATGGGCACTAAGGAGGCTGCGCTGATGAGGTGGCACTGATGGGTAGTGATAGGCAGCACTGGTGGGCATTAATTGGCACTGATGAGGCTGCATTAATGGGCACCGATAGGCTGCACTGATGGGCACTGATGAGGCTGCACTGATTGGCATTGATAGGCTGCACTGATGGGCACTGATAGGCTGACGTGTTTCGGGAATCGAACTCCCTTTCTTAAACCTTAGCTTAGAGAAAGGGAGTTCGACTCCCGAAATGTGTCAACCATTCTAACCAGGGCTGTTGTACCACAGGACCCCCCTTGTGTGGGATTGATTCATTTGGCTCCATGTCTGCTTTCATGATCTTTTTGTGAGTATCCATTTGTTACGTTTTTATTTAGTGTATTTGTTACAACGGTAATGTACAAGGAGAGTGCGCCCTTTTGCGTTTTTCTTTTCTTGGTACCAAGATTTCCCAATCTTTAGAGGGCTGCACCTCAACAAGTGACAGATACCGTTTTTCTATGTGGAGCATGAAGATTTGAGCGCTGGTGATGATTTTATTTTGATTTATTAAAGATTAAATAAACTCTAAACAAAAAGCAGGAAAAAGAAAAAACTATTTTCTCCTGCTAGACAAAGGCATAATGTGCTGGCACACATCGCATACTAGCCCAATATGAAGGACTTACCTTAAAACAAAGCCTTCGAGTGGCACGCTGTCACTACTGCAGAGGCTTCCGTCTTCCTTCCGGGTTTTTGCAGGCTGCGGCTGCTTGATTGGCCAAGCCACGATGACGTCACTCATGTGCATTCGCTTGGAGTCTCGGCCGCCGCACAAAGCTCTGAAGGAACAGCATGGGTATGCTGTTCCTTCAGAGCGCATTTGCTGGTGATGTCACCGGCTGCCGCTCGCTAGAATATCTCCTAAACGATGCATAGTAGATATTCATTTTATCATCAGGTAAGGCTCACTGTAGGTAAAAATAATAAATGAGCGTTTGCTACAACTTTGACCACTTCAATACCGGGTACTTTCACCCCCTTCCTGCCCAGGCCATTTTCAGCTTTCCGCTGTCGCACTTAGAATGACAATTGCGCGATCAGGCAACACTGCAGCCAGATGACATTTTATCATTTTTTTTATACAGGTAAAGCTTTCTTTTGTTGGTATTTTTTATTTTTTGCTAAACAAATGAAAAAAAAATTACCAAAAATTGTGAAATAAAAAAACCATTTTCTTTGTTTTTGTTATAAAATTTTGCAAACAAGTAAATTTTCTTCTTTACTGATGTGCGATGATGAGATGGCACTGATAGGCTGCACTGATGAGGTGGCACTGATAGGTGGCACTGATAGGCTGCATTGATGGGTACTAATGACGCTGCACTGATGGACACTGATGGGACTGCACTGATAGGCTGCATTGATTGCGCACTAATAAGGCTGCGCTGATGGGCACTGATGAGGCTGCATTGATATGCACTGATGAGGCTGCATTGATGAGGTGGCACTGATGGGTACAGATAGGTGGCACTGGTGGGCATTGATTGGCACTGATGAGGCTGCACTGATGGGCAATGATGGGACTGCACTGATAGGCTCATTAATGGGCACTAATAAGCTGCACTGATGGGCACTGATGAGGCTGCATTGATGTGCACTGATGAGGCTGCATTGATGGGTAATGATGAGGCTGCACTGATAGACACTGATGAGACTGCACTGACGAGGTGGCACAGATGGGTACTGATAGGCGGCACAGATGGGCATTGATTGGCACTGATGAGGCTGCACTGGTGCAGCTGCACTGATGGGCACTGGTAGTATGCATTAATGGGCACTGATAGGCTGCACTGATGGGTACTGATGAGGCTACACTGATGTGGTGGCACTAATGGGCCCTGCAAAGCTGCACTGATGGAGCTGCAATGATGCTCGGTGCCCTTATTACCAGTATCCACAATGGGCTGACAGCTTTGACAGGTATCGGCTGTCTCTTCCTCACACAGGCACAGCGTGTGAGAAAAAGACTGCGGATAACTGGCAAGTCTATTTACATGTGATTGGGCACAGCTGATCACATGGTAAAGGGCCACTGTGATTGGCCCTTTACCGTGATCTGTGATCAGCTGTGTCCAATGGACCCATATTGGTGATCCTCGATGTGCTGGTGACATTTTCCCTTGCTGATTCTGTTCGGTTCCAGCCAATGGTCGCTGCACCACCCACTTATACACACAGCTATTTTTAACACAGGAACGTGTAGGTTTGGATTGTACACATGCAAAGGACACAGCGGTCGCAGAACGCACCTGATGCGTGCCACGTTCTGGGAAGACCTCTGTAGACGCCCTCCCAGAACAAGAGAACTGTGCTGTAGCCGTCTTTCGGCTATAGCGCGGTATTAAAGTACTTTTAAAAAATTTAAATTTTTGTTCTGTGGGTATAGTCAGGAGAGAACGAGATAAAAATAAGATATGTAATGGAAACAGTAAAAGGTCGTTAGTAAGTTAGTAGATTAACCAGTTCCCAACCGCGCTATAGCCGAAGGACGGCTACAGTGCGGCTGTCTGGTTCTGGGACTACATCCATGGATGTCATTCCAGAACAGGCCCCCTGCGTGCACCCACGCCGCCGGTGATCACTGTGTCCTACAGACACAGCTGATCACGTCATACGGTAAAAGGTCAATCACGGTGACCTTTTACCACGTGATCAGCTGTGTCCAATGACTCAGCAGATCACCGAGTAACTACAGTTGCCGGTTATCAGCGTGAGGAAAGTACTGCCGATAATGGCAATTGTCAGCGAAGGGATCGGTGCTGATCATCAGGGCACTTATGATCAGTGCCCTGATGATCAGTGCCCAGCAGTGCTGCCCACCTGTTCCACCCACCTGTGCCCATCAGTGCCGCCCACCTGTGCCCTGCAGTGCCACCCACCTGTGCCCTGCAGTGCATCAGTGCCACCCAGCCTCCCAGTGCCCTGCAGTGCCACCCACCTGTCATCAGTGCACCCATCAGTGCAGTGCCACCCCACCTGTGCCCCACCTGTGCTCATCAGTGCCACCCACCTGTGCCCAGCAGTGCCACCCAGCAGTGCCCTGCAGTGCCACCCAGCAGTGCTCATCAGTGCCACCCACCTGTGCAGCATCATCAGTGCCAGCTCATCAGTGCCACCTATCAATGCCTCCTATCAGTGCTGCCTATCCATGCCACCTCATCAGTGCCCATCAGTGCTGCCTATCTGCCTATCAGTGCTATCAGCCTCATCAACGCACATCAGTAAAGGAGAAAAATTACCTGTTTGCAAAACTTTATAATAGAAAAACTAATTTTTTTCAAATTTTTTGCTCTTTTTGTTTATAGTGCAAAACATAAAACCCTCAGCAGCAATTTAATACTACCAAAAGAAAGCTCTATTTGTGTGAAAAAAATGATAAAAATGTCATATGGGTAGTGTTGCATGACCGCACAATTGTCATTCAAAGTGCGACAGCGCTGAAAGCTGGCCTGGGCAGGAAGGGGATAGAAGTGCCCGGTAGGCGAGGGGTTAAATGTCAGCTTCAAAATTGGTCATTTTTGTTGGAGATTGGAGTCTTTTTAAATGTTCTTCTACCCCTCAGATGGACGGTATAGAAGGTACAGTCTGAAGAAACATCCTGCTTCACCTTTGAATGGGGAGATAGAAGATGATGACATCCCAGCAGAATCTTCAGGAAGAAACCACGTGACCCTGTGTTCACATCGGGCACGTCACAGTGCAGATCCTGAAGAAGGGGAAACCTTCCTGCGTTCTAAACCTGGTGACTCTTATGACCAGAGAGCGGTCCTCCATGCACCACAGAGACTTCACCAAAACGAGAAGCCCTTTCCATGTTCTGAGTGCGGGAAATGTTTTTCTCAGAAACAGCAACTCGTTAGGCACCAGAAAACTCATTCGGCCGAGCAGCCATTTTCCTGTTCGGAGTGCGGGAAATGTTTCACCGAAAAATGGATGTTGGCAAAACATCAGAACAGTCACTCCGGAGAGAAGCCGTTTTCATGCTCTGAATGCGGGAGATGTTTTTCCCACAGAAGAAATCTCGCCTCGCACCAGATGACTCATACAGGAGAGAGGCCATTTTCCTGTTCGGAGTGTGGGAAATGTTTTTCCCAAAAGTCCACCCTGACCACCCATGAAAAAATTCACACGGGGGTGAAGCCGTATTCCTGCTCCGAATGCGGGAAATCTTTCTCCCATAAATCTTCCCTTATTGGGCATGAAAAAGTCCACACGGGAGAGAAGCCGTTTTCATGTACAGAGTGCGGTAAGCGTTTTTCCCTAAAATCAAATCTCATAGCACATGAAAAAGTTCACACGGGGGAAAGGCCATTTTCATGCGTCAAATGCGGTAAAAGTTTTTCCATGAAGTCCAACCTTCTCAAGCATGAAAAGGTTCACACAGGGGAGAAGCCATATCCATGCCAGGAATGCGGAAAAGGTTTCACCGATAGAACCCACCTTATTTTACATCAGAGAACTCACACGGGCGAGAAGCCCTTTTCCTGTAACGATTGTGGTAAATGCTTTTCTCGGAAATCGAATCTTCTCGAACACGAAAAAGTTCACAGAGGGGAGAAGCCGTTTTCCTGTGAGTGTGGGAAACGGTTCTCAAAGAAGTCCTCCTTTATGTCACATCTTAGTTCCCACAGGGAGGACCTTCCTTTGTTGGAGGATGGAAGCTGAATTTGGTGTCTTGTGTTTATAAGGATGGAAAGGAACCTCTTGTATTTGAATCGGGTGAAAGTTGTGTGAAAACATTGATAAACAGACCACCAAAGTGTATTGAGCTTTGACTTGCCCCACAGCTGAATACTATGGGAAAGTCCACCTTGAGATGAACTTGGCTTTACTACCAAGCCTGTACCATGCTTACCATGCCTTAAACTGGTCAACCACCATTGGACATCATACATCCATTATAAAACACATATCGAATATCTGACCTAGTGCTAGTAAATCGATAAATAAAACCTCCTCCCAGTTCTATACAAAACTCATAATAAATCCAATCAGTCACTATATTGCCAAAAGTATTGGGACAGCCAAAAGTTGAATTCCTTTTTTTTCTTAGCAAGTAAGCTCACGTCCAGGCAAAGCACCTACTTGATCATCCTGTGGGATCCGATGGTCTTCGTCTTCAGAACCTGAAAAATATACAGGACCGAGACATCCGTTTTTTATATTTCCATGACTTGGTGCCCCTGTAGGAAATATACACAGAGCTGTTGAAGGAGAACGTCGCTTTGTCCATCCAGAACAACTGTTCACAGTAAAGGGACTCTGCATGGTACTCAAAATATAGAGACTAATATATCCTGTAAAAAATGGTAGTATTTATTGTACATCCTATTAAAAGTACACTATAATGGCAAAAGTATTGGTCACATATATAGTTACATAGTTAGTCTGGCTGAAAAAAGACAAAAGTCCATCCAGTTCAACCATTAAAAAAAAAAAGAAAGTTATAATCCTATACCCACAGTTGATCCAGAGGAAGGCAAAAAAAACCCCAGCAAAGCATGATCCAATTTGCTCCTGCAGGGAAAAAAAATCCTTCCTGATTCTCTGAGAGGCAATCGGATATTCCCTGGATCAACTTTACCTATAAATGTTAGTATCCAGTTATATTCTGTGTATCCAAGAAAGAATCCAGGACTTTCCAACAGCAATCCACTGAGCTGGCCAGAACCAACTCTTGAGGGAGTCTATTCCACATTTTTACAGCTCTTACTCTGAAGAAACCTTTCTGTGTTTGGAGATTATATTTCTTTTCCTCCAGATGTAAAGAGCGCCCCCTTGTCCTCTGTGATGACCTCAGGGTGAATAGCTCTACACTGAGTTCACTATATGAACCACTGATGTATTTATACATGGAGATCATATCCCCCCTTGTGTATTATACATTGAGATCATATCCCCCCTTATGTATTATACATGGAGATCATATCCCCCTTATGTATTATACATGGTGCTCATATCCTCCCTTATGTATTATACATGGAGATCATATCCCCCCTTATGTATTATACATGGAGATCATATCCCCCCCTTATGTATTATACATGGAGATCATATCCCCCCTTATGTATTATACATGGAGATCATATCCCCCCCTATGTATTATACATGGAGATCATATCCCCCCCTATGTATTATACATGGAGATCATAGCCCCCCCTTATGTATTATACATGGAGATCATATCCCCCCCTTATGTATTATACATGGAGATCATATCCCCCTTATGTATTATACATGGAGATCATATCCCCCTTATGTATTATACATGGAGATCGTATCCCCCTTATGTATTATACATGGAGATCATATCCCCCTTATGTATTATACATGGAGATCATATCCCCCCTTATGTATTATACATGGAGATCATATCCCCCCTTATGTTTTATACATGGAGATCATATCCCCCCTTATGTATTATACATGGTGATCATATCCCCCCTTATGTATTATACATGGAGATCATATCCCCCCTTATGTATTATACATGGTGATCATATCCCCCCTTATGTATTATACATGGAGATCATATCCCCCCTTATGTATTATACATGGTGATCATATCCCCCCTTATGTATTATACATGGAGATCATATCCCCCCTTATTTATTATACATGGAGATCATATCCCCCCTTATGTATTATACATGGAGATCATATCCCCCCTTATGTATTATACATGGAGATCATATCCCCCCCTTATGTATTATACATGGAGATCATATCCCCCTTATGTATTATACATTGAGATCATATCCCCCCTTATGTATTATACATGGAGATCATATCCCCTTATGTATTATACATGGAGATCATATCCCCCCTTATGTATTATACATGGAGATCATATCCCCCCTTATGTATTATACATGTTGATCATATCCCCCCTTATTCTCCTCTGCTCAAGAGAGAATAAATTCAGTTCCTCTAATCTTTCCTCATAGCTGATTTCCTCCATGCCTCTTATCAGTTTGGTTGCCCTTCTCTGTACTTTCTCCAGTTCCCCAATGTTCTTTTTGTGAATTGGTGCCCAAAACTGAACTGCATATTCCAGATGAGGTCTTACTAATGATTTGTACCGGGATAATATGATATCTCTCTCTCTGGAGTCTATACCTCTTTTAATACAAGCAGCTTCAGATGTTAGTGAGGGACATAGTTCGTTTGGGCCAGCTTGGCCTGTAAAGTGGAACAAAAGATTTTGTTCCGCTTTAAGGAAATGTGTACAAATCACAATCTATGGGTCAATTACAATTTTCAGCACTTTTATAGTTAACACAAAGAATGTAAACATCCCTTGTGATAACAATAAAGCATGATAGAAGAAGATATATATGCGAGCACTTGACTAACAAGGAGAGCAGCTATGCACCAGAAAGGAGACCATAAAACCTTCAGTAATAACTAGTGTAAAATAGTGCAGCACTAAAAAGTGTATGGGTATGATAACAATGATAAAATAATATAAAGAAATAAAAATCAATAAAATGCAAGGGATAAATGTAAACCATAAATGATCATCATAAAATAGCTCTTAATCATGAAATATTAAAATATTAGGAAAAAAGTCCATAAATTCAAATGCGATTTAGAAGTCAAAAATCATGAATGGACCCCAAAGTGACGCGATTAATCCCAGTGGTATATCAGTCGTCAAACAGGGTGGTAGGTGGCAACAAATAGATAAAATGCGCACTTACCGGAAGCGCAAAGGGAATGCGCAATGTATTTAATCAGGTGGAGGTCTGCCCGGAATCTCTCTTAAGATGGTGCAGCTTAGGAGTGGTGGATAACGTCAGGGTGTCCTTACATCCGGGGGTCCACTTAAAGGATATGCATTCAGCCTCTTCATAAACCAGGGATGGTCACCAGGGGGAGCTCTGGGGGGTTAAAAAGCTCACCAAAGAGCCATAAGCGGACTGCCCATAGTGTAGTATTTTAAAAATGGATTTTATTAATAATCATAAAGGATATATAAAATCAAAGTGATGGACAATGTCCTTCCAGAGCAGCACAATGTAAGGATAATGACATAAGAAACAAAATGATGTAGTAGCAACAAACACCGCTCTGTGCACTCACCAGCTGGTATAATTTGGGGGGCCGCCGGACCTCCGTGATCCGGCGGCATAGCATCAAAGGCGTGTAGGCTCCTCCAAGACGCGTTGTGTACGAACGTACTTCCTCAGTTGGGGTATGCTATAGCAGCCTGATGCTAGTTGTGACCTATTTATGGCTTATTTGGCACACCGCAATTAGTGGGTGCCATTTTCCCAATTCCCAGCGTACTGCACAGGCGCCATTTTACCGACGACCAACGCACTGCGCATGCGTTAGTCATCGGTAAAATGGTGCCCGCACAGTACGCTGGGAGTATGCTTTTTATCTATTTGTTGCCACCCACCACTCTGTTTGATGACTGATATAGCACCGGGATTAATCGAGTCACCTTGGGGTCCATTCATGATTTTTGACTTCTAAAATTGCATTTGAATTTATGGACTTTTTTCCTAATATTTTAATATTTCATGTTAAGAGCTATTTTGTGATGGTCATTTATGGTTTACATTTATCCCTTGCATTTTATTGATTATTATTCCTTTATATTATTTTATCATTGTTATCATACCCATACACTTTTTAGCGCTGCACTATTTTATACTAATAAAAAATGATAGGACCTGTTTTTGGAGAGATCTGAGGTCTATTAGACCCTAGATCTCTCCTCTGGCCTCCAACGCATCAGATCACAATGATCTTGGTGTGATCTGATGCGTTGGATGCCAGAGGAGAGATCTGGGGTTGAAGTTAGTAATGGCTTGTTTACATGAGCCTGAAACCTGAAGTGATTAACTCCTCCCCCTCCAAAGGATTTCCCCCCCTTCCTGACCAGGCCATTTTTTGCGATATGGCGCTACGTTACTTTAACTGACAATTGCAGTCATGCATCACTGCACCCAAATTAAATTTACATCCATTTTTCCCACAAATTGTGCAACGCCGTACATAAATGAAATGTATGTTTTTCCCACAAAGAGCTTTTTTTCGGTGGTATTTGATCGCCTATGCGGTTTTTATTTTTTGCACTATAAAAAAACAAAAGACCGACAATTTTGAGAAAAAAACCTAAATTTTGGACTTTTTGCTATTAAACATGCCCAGTATAAAAATAAAAAAAATCAAATTTCACCATAAATTTAGACCAAAACGTATTCTGCTCCATGTCTTTGCTAAAAAAAAAATGCCAATATGTGTAAATTAATTGGTTTACGTGAAAGTTATAGCGTTTACAAATGGCGGTATAGATACTGGAATTTTTTTTTTCTACTAGTAATGGCGGCGATCAGCGACTTATAGCGGGACTGCGGCGGGCATTCTGACACTGGGGGGGAAACTGACTTGGTGTCACTGACATCCCCAGTGACACCAATACAGTGATCAGTGCTAATAAAAAGCACTGACACCGTATTACTGGCACTGGGCAGGAAGGGGTTATCATGTGGGGTGATCAAGGGATTAACTATGTGTAGGGAGTGTTTTACTAGGGGGCGGGGGCTGTGTGCTTCACTGTAATCTCACTGCTCTGGATGGCTGTGCTGTGCAGTGTGCCCAAGCTGACAGGGAGGACGACTGTTAGTAAACAAAACAGTCCTCCTCCCCATCGGAGATGCTCGGTAATCACCAGGCGTCGGCGGGTAATTACCAGCCGGGACCTGGAGATTGACAGCCGCAGCCACGAATGGCAGCGCGGGGGCGTGTGCCCCCTACCCGGAAATGCAAAATGACATATATATGTTATTTTGCGCAGCCCTGCCGCCCTTTAGCAATATATCTGCTATAGGGCGGCGAGGAACGTCGCTTCCGGTTTCTGATGTCACACGGTGGGAGGAATGAGATCCATCTCAGGAAGAGGATGCTGTCAAACGCATCCTTACCAGACTCCCTGATCGCATGTGAGAGCCCGTAAAGGAGGCGAAGGGACCCTTTCCGCCGTCTGTAAAAGTAACCCAGGGGCTGTTTAGCTGCTGTGAGCAGGGGAGAGGGCAAACAAACAAGATATACCTGTGCTCAGTTCCCAATAGCTAGTACATGCATTTATCCATCAGGTGCTAAAGGGGTGTAAACAAATATTAACACCAGAAATTCTGAAGGTACACTCTGCTCACTGCTATATACCCTTCCCAGCAGACTTTGCAATAAAAAAAAATAGGGATTTTAGTTCACACATATTGCAATACATGTGTAACCCCTTCACACCAACGTCACACAAATATGCGGCCCCACAGAACTGTTTTTTTTTTTCCGTGGGGGCCGCATATTTGCGTACCTATCTTTGTGCTGGGAGCACTCTGCACAGTGGGCCCCCAGCACAAAAACTGGGGTGTCACTGAGAGCCCTGGGTCCCGTTCTAACGATCAGGACCCGGGGCTCCCGGTTCCGGATCACATGATCGCCGTGATAGCCTCTGATTGGCTATCACAATGATCAGTAAAGCCCGCCCCCCCCTTGTTTTTTTTTTCCTCTATGAATGGAGGAGAGAGATACATTGTATCTCTTTCTCTGTCCTTGCATAGAGGGGAAAAAAAAAACAGTTTGTTAGAAAAAAAGATAAAGAAATATTAAGAAAAGAAAAAAATGAAAAATACCTAGATCAAGGTTTGATCTAGTTCAGTGCCAGGGTTACTGTTTGGGTCAGGGTCAGGGTCAAAGTCAGGATTTTTTTTTAAATATATTTTTTTAAATACGTATCATTGTCAATTAGTGTCAGTGTGTTTTAGGTGAAAAAAACAAAATGCGCACTCTTGTTTCTGGGCTGTACTGTGGGTACAAACAACAAATAACATACAGATACAGGTGTACCTCGGTTTACGAACGCCACGGTTAACGTAATTTTCGGTTTACGAATGAAAATCCATTGAAAATAACGCCTCGGTTTACGAATTTTAAATGAATTTTTTTCGCAATATGAAGCGTATGTCGTTGCCAATTTTTAAATGCAGTTGCCAGCTTTTTTTGTTCTTCACTATAGCTCACAGAATTAGCTGTCACTTTCTCCAGAGCTAAAGGAAACTTTGTTTCTTTTATCTCGGGAAACAAACTAAAAGGAAACATTGTTTCTTTTAGCAGGGGGTAAAGTGACAGCTAAATCTCTGAACTAAAGTGAAGAAAAAAAAAGCCGGTAATTACATTTAAAAACCGGCACTGACCTAGTGACAGCGACCTTTTTTTAACTTTTTTCTGACCTCCGAAACGGATTAATTGGTTTTCAATGCATTCCTTTGGGAAACCGTGTTTCAGTTTACAAATATTTCACAATACGAAACGTCATGGAGAACGCATTACATTCGTAAACCGAGGTACACCTGTTTATGGTATCATTGCGATCATTAAGAGTTGGAAAATGTATTTTGGGTTGTTCTTTGGTGGTAGATTATGGTAGTAACAAGAAAGGTCAAAGGGTCAGGGTCAAAGGTCAGGATTTATTTATTTTTTTAAATTGGTATCAGTGTCAGTGTGTTTTAGGTAAAAAAAAAAACTCAAAAAACAAAAATGCACACTCTTGTTTCTGGGCTGTACTACAGGTACAAACAAATAACATACACATATATGGTATCGCTGCAATCGTCAAGAGCTGGAAAATTTATTTTGGGTTCTTCTTTGGAGGTAGGTTATGGAAGTAACAAGAAACGCACAGCTAAATTTAAAAAAATGTTTTCACTATTTTGGGCAAGTTTTCCTTTGATAAAAAAAAAAAAAACAGAAGATATCCATTACCATTTACCACCAAATGAAAACCCAATTTGTCCTAAAAAAAACCCTGGTATATTCCACTCGGATGTACAAAGTAGTGACGATATGTACAGTTTTACTAACACATGTCAAAGTTGCAAGATTGTGCATAGGCATTAAGATTTGTTTTACCCTTAGGCGGGACGGTTCTAAGCTGGCCAACTGCGTCAAAGTAATCCCTCTATGGCCAGTCCCTACTCTGCTCTGCCAAAGTAAATGGCCAGTCCCTACTCTGCTCTGCCAATGTAAATTGCCAGTCCTTACTCTGGCCAGTCCCTACTCTGCTCTGCCAATGTAAATGCTACTGTGGACACAATGCCAATTTGGAGCAAACAGACACAAAGTGGGGGGGGAGAGCTACTAGGTTTAGGAATTCCTCCATGTTCAGTCACTAGTCCTTTAAGTAGTAGCTTCTTGCTATAACTGCCCGCATTCTCATCCATATGTGAGGTGGGGCTAGGTAGCAGGTATAAAAGGGTTGAGCACACTTTTACGCACAGGCACCAGTCCAGTGAAGAAGCGACAAGCAGTGCGGTGTTTATTGGTGCTATTTACAGGTGCTGTACAGGGTTCCAGAACATAAAAAAGGTGAAAACTACAAAACAAAATTCTAGCTGTGTACCTGCACTCACTAAACAAATACACAGGATATCCCCCCTTCAGTCTATTATGAATTCTGCTGCTAGACTGATCAGCGACTGCTGCCCCTCACACAAATATGCGGCCCCACAGAACTGTTTTTTTTTTCCGTGGGGGCCGCATATTTGCGTACCTATCTTTGTGCTGGGAGCACTCTGCACAGTGGGCCCCCAGCACAAAAACTGGGGTGTCACTGAGAGCCCTGGGTCCCGTTCTAACGATCAGGACCCGGGGCTCCCGGTTCCGGATCACATGATCGCCGTGATAGCCTCTGATTGGCTATCACAATGATCAGTAAAGCCCGCCCCCCCCTTGTTTTTTTTTTTCCTCTATGAATGGAGGAGAGAGATACATTGTATCTCTTTCTCTGTCCTTGCATAGAGGGGAAAAAAAACAGTTTGTTAGAAAAAAAGATAAAGAAATATTAAGAAAAGAAAAAAATGAAAAATACCTAGATCAAGGTTTGATCTAGTTCAGTGCCAGGGTTACTGTTTGGGTCAGGGTCAGGGTCAAAGTCAGGATTTTTTTAAATATATTTTTTTAAATACGTATCATTGTCAATTAGTGTCAGTGTGTTTTAGGTGAAAAAAACAAAATGCGCACTCTTGTTTCTGGGCTGTACTGTGGGTACAAACAACAAATAACATACAGATACAGGTGTACCTCGGTTTACGAACGCCACGGTTAACGTAATTTTCGGTTTACGAATGAAAATCCATTGAAAATAACGCCTCGGTTTACGAATTTTAAATGAATTTTTTTCGCAATATGAAGCGTATGTCGTTGCCAATTTTTAAATGCAGTTGCCAGCTTTTTTTGTTCTTCACTATAGCTCACAGAATTAGCTGTCACTTTCTCCAGAGCTAAAGGAAACTTTGTTTCTTTTATCTCGGGAAACAAACTAAAAGGAAACATTGTTTCTTTTAGCAGGGGGTAAAGTGACAGCTAAATCTCTGAACTAAAGTGAAGAAAAAAAAAGCCGGTAATTACATTTAAAAACCGGCACTGACCTAGTGACAGCGACCTTTTTTTAACTTTTTTTCTGACCTCCGAAACGGATTAATTGGTTTTCAATGCATTCCTTTGGGAAACCGTGTTTCAGTTTACAAATATTTCACAATACGAAACGTCATGGAGAACGCATTACATTCGTAAACCGAGGTACACCTGTTTATGGTATCATTGCGATCATTAAGAGTTGGAAAATGTATTTTGGGTTGTTCTTTGGTGGTAGATTATGGTAGTAACAAGAAAGGTCAAAGGGTCAGGGTCAAAGGTCAGGATTTATTTATTTTTTTAAATTGGTATCAGTGTCAGTGTGTTTTAGGTAAAAAAAAAAACCTCAAAAAACAAAAATGCACACTCTTGTTTCTGGGCTGTACTACAGGTACAAACAAATAACATACACATATATGGTATCGCTGCAATCGTCAAGAGCTGGAAAATTTATTTTGGGTTCTTCTTTGGAGGTAGGTTATGGAAGTAACAAGAAACGCACAGCTAAATTTAAAAAAATTTTTCACTATTTTGGGCAAGTTTTCCTTTGATAATAAAAAAAAAAAACAGAAGATATCCATTACCATTTACCACCAAATGAAAACCCAATTTGTCCTAAAAAAACCCTGGTATATTCCACTCGGATGTACAAAGTAGTGACGATATGTACAGTTTTACTAACACATGTCAAAGTTGCAAGATTGTGCATAGGCATTAAGATTTGTTTTACCCTTAGGCGGGACGGTTCTAAGCTGGCCAACTGCGTCAAAGTAATCCCTCTATGGCCAGTCCCTACTCTGCTCTGCCAAAGTAAATGGCCAGTCCCTACTCTGCTCTGCCAATGTAAATTGCCAGTCCTTACTCTGGCCAGTCCCTACTCTGCTCTGCCAATGTAAATGCTACTGTGGACACAATGCCAATTTGGAGCAAACAGACACAAAGTGGGGGGGGAGAGCTACTAGGTTTAGGAATTCCTCCATGTTCAGTCACTAGTCCTTTAAGTAGTAGCTTCTTGCTATAACTGCCCGCATTCTCATCCATATGTGAGGTGGGGCTAGGTAGCAGGTATAAAAGGGTTGAGCACACTTTTACGCACAGGCACCAGTCCAGTGAAGAAGCGACAAGCAGTGCGGTGTTTATTGGTGCTATTTACAGGTGCTGTACAGGGTTCCAGAACATAAAAAAGGTGAAAACTACAAAACAAAATTCTAGCTGTGTACCTGCACTCACTAAACAAATACACAGGATATCCCCCCTTCAGTCTATTATGAATTCTGCTGCTAGACTGATCAGCGACTGCTGCCCCTCTCTACCAATCCCTCCACTGGCTTCCACTAACCCAACGTATAAAATTCAAAAT